GGTTTCACCATGTTGACCAGGATGGTCTTGATCTCTTGACCTCGTGATCCACCCGCCTTGGCCTCCCAAAGTGCTGGGATTACAGGCTTGAGCCACCGCGCCCGGCCGAGAAATTGGACTTTTATCACTGACATACTGGATCAGGAGTTGGCTTATTCTGTCCTCGTCCGACCCCACTTTGGCCAAAAGACTGAAGGTCTGAGGATGGGTTCCTTAGTCCAAATAAAACAGCAATACTCCTTTCCGCGCTGCCTGCCAAGGGCTCCACACGGCGTTGTTCTGGGTTCCCGGCGTAATTTAAAGGGAAACTTTCACCATGTCTGGAGCCCTTGATGTCCTGCAAATGAAGGAGCAGGAATCCATTTAGGTGGCACCAACCTTGACTTCCAGATGGAACAGGATATCTACAAAAGGAAAAGTGATGGCATCTACGTCATAAATCTGAAGAGGACCTGGGAGAAGCTTCTCCTGGCAGCTCGTGCCATTGTTGCCATTGGAAACCCTGCTGATGTCAGTGTCACATCCTCCAGAAACACCGGCCAGAGGGCCGTGCTGGAGTTTGCCGCTGCCATGGAGCCACTCCAATCGCTGCCGCAACACTCCTGGAACCTTCACCAACCAGATCCAGGCAGCCTTCCGGGAGCCGCGGCTGCTTGTGGTACTGACCCCAGGGCTGAGCACCAGCCTCTCACGGAGGTGTCTTGTTACCCTACCTACCATTGCTCTGTGTCACACAGATTCTCCTCTGCGCTATGTGGACTTTGCCGTCCCATGCAACAACAAAGGAGCTCACTCATTGGGTTTGATGTGTGGATGCTGGCTCGGGAAGTTTTGCACATGCGTGGCACCATCCGTGAACACCCGTGGGAGGTCACGCCTGATCTCTACTTCTGCAGAGATCCTGAAGAGACTGAAAAAGAAGAGCAGCCTGCTGCTGACAAGGCTGTTACCAAGGAGGAGCTTCAAGGCGAACGGACTGCTCCAGCCCCTGACTTCACTGCTGCTCAGCCTGAGGTTGCCGACTGGTCTGAAGGCGTGCAGGTGCCCTCTGTGCCTATCCAGCAGTTCCCTACTGAAGACTGGAGCGCCCAGCCTGCCACGGAAGACTAGGCTGCATCTCCCACTGCTCAGGCCACTGAATGGGTAGAAGCAACCACTGAATGGTCATAAGCTGTTCTTGAGTGGGCTCTTAAACAACATATAAGATTCATGGAAAATAAACATCGAGTTTCTAAAAAAAGAAAACAAAAACAAAAACAAAAAAACAGCAATACTGCAATACTTAATCATTTGAAGTCTGTTCCTGTGTCTGGCCCTTTCATCATCCTTCCAGTGTTTTACCAGAAGGCCTAGGGGACTGACGTCAGGGAATTTTATTTTCTGCTTGGCCTTTTAGAGTCCCTATCTTACTTGGGGTATTTCCCATCCTGGAGGCTGGTGAGGCTCAATCCCTCGTGTTAGTGGTTTCTTGCACTCCCATGTCCTACAGGCTAAACCTTCCCTTTTCCCACTGGAGGATTCTTGCACTTTCGTGAGCTCTCACTTTGTCCTCATTGGCCGCTTCCCTCGCAGGAATTTTAGGTCCCTCTTAGCATTGGCGGGGCGTATAATCCTCCGACTGGAAAGCCACCCTAAGCCATAGGGGGTGACCACGGAACCAAGTCTGGACTGCGCACTGCCTTCGTGCCCAATGGTGCGTCTCACACACTTTCAACTTCCAGGGACCCCGACCACCAAGGAATACTTTGTCGCCCCAATGGCAACGTTTCTTACCTTGATCTGTGCACAGAGTTATCTGGTCTCCTCGGAATTATTATTATTTTTTAAAGATGGGGTTTCACCATGATGGCCAGGCTGGTCTTGAAGTCCTGACCTCAGGTGATCCACCCACCTCGGCCTCCCAAAGTGCGAGGATTACAGGCGTGAGCCACCGCGCCCGGCCTCCTCGGAATTCTTAGGGATCCTCCCTACTGCTCGCGTTGCTGAGAGTCTGGATTTATTCCTCACTTCCTCTGCGCCTGGGGCCACCCCAACGAGGCAGTGGGGACCCCTCCCGAAGGAGAATGGGATTCCAAGAGAAGCCCCCAACATTTGTCGGAACCTGCACTCGGGAAATCCCTCAGCCAGGCGCCTTGACTTCTGCACCAGGCTTGGCCTGTTGCAATCCCGCACACACCGCACGAAAGGAGGGCCGGGGTTTAATCCGCACCGGGGCTGTTTCCGTGTCCTTCCCCTGCCGGCGGGAGTCGCCCCGCGCGATCTAACTCATCCCTCCCGGCCCAGACCTAAGTTTTCCCACACAGGGTGAACGCGCGACTGCGGTCAGAAGACGGCGCAGGACGGACTGACGACGTTTACGACTCGGGACGGGAGAGGTGAGGCTCCCAAGAGGAAGTCAGTCGAACCGGCGCCGCTCCGGCGGCGGCGGCGCTGCGACTCCCGCCCGAGCCCGCGAGCGCGACGCCGCTCCGGAGCCCCCGTCTCTACGGCAACCCAGGGCGTCTCCGGGACCGCCACTGCGCAGGCGCCCGGCGACTAAGCCGCTAGGAACCCAGCTGCGCCACGCAGGGCAGGAGACGCCGTGGCGCCCGCGTAACGCACTTCCGGTGCCTGCCCCGCCCCTTCCCGCGGCGGGGGCGTGGCCGCGGCGGGGGCGTGGCCGCGGCGCTGGCGGGGGCGTGGCCGCGGCGCTCGCTGGGGGTGGGGTGGGGGGTACGCCCTGGGCTGCCGCCGTCGGTGTCCCCACCGTCTCCAGCCGCCGCCCTCTTCAGTACCCGGTGGCTCAGGAAGGCCTGGGAGCCTGAGGCCGTCCCTGAGTCGCTCCCGGGTCACCGGCACCACGCGAGCCATTCTCTCGGCTGACGGTGCGTGCGGGCGAGGAGCTGCTCCCCTGCTTCTCCCCACCATCCACGAGTCCTGCTCCACTCTGTCAGAACGCAGCACCGCCCCGGACCGGCCTCGGTGCAGGGTCCGCGCCGGGGGTTTGGGGCTGCGCGCGCAGCGCCGCCGCGGGGCCTCCTGGGAGTTGTGGTCCGGCCGTCCGCGCGGGACTCCAGCTCCCGGCAGACCTCGCGCGGCCCGGAGTCCGCGGCGCTGGGGTCGGCGCCGGGGTCGCCGCCGGGTTCGCCGCCTGGTCCGGGTGGGCTGCGGCGCGCGCGGCGGGCGCTCTGGCCTAGCCTGGCCCGACCTGGCCGCCGCTGATCAGTCGAGGCTGGTGGGCGGCCTCGCACACCGGGCAGACCGAGACGGACTGGCCCGCGGCCCCGCGCCCCCGCTTGGAGCGGGCGGGACGGAAACTTCCGGGCAAGTGGGGGTCGGCGGGGACTGCGCGGCCCTGGCAAGGTCTGGCAGCGGACGGGGCTGGGCGGCCTCCGGGAGCCACGGGCACGAATGACAGGGGGCGGGGCGCGCTCCGGGTGGGGGTGCCCGCCGTGCCCACCCCCCGGCCCGCCCGTCCCCTGCGCCGCCGCCCGTGCGCCTCCCGGAGCCTCTGCTGGGCCCTGACGTCTGCGAGCCGCGGCCGGTGGACCCCGGGCGCGCGCAGTTACGGGCATGGCGCGGGCGCCTCCTGCGCGCCCCACACCCCAGGGAGCCCATCCGCGCAGGCGGCGGCCCTGGTGTCGCGGCGGTGGCCTGAGTGGACGTGGAGCCGGCGGGCAGCCTCGGGGGCAGACAGGCGACCTAGCGGCGGGCGGAGGTGCTAACTACATCTTGGCATCTCCCCTCGGCCACAGGGTTGGAAGCCCAGCGAGGCTAGAGGCCAGTCCCAAGGTCTCCAGGCATCAGGCCTGCAGCCCAAGAGTCTCAAGGCGGCCGGGCGGGCGACTGGACGGCCGGACAGGTGAGCTCTTGACCGTCCGCGGCCTGATCGTTTGCACGTGGTGCTTCCACCCTGGGGCTCCGCGGAAGCCACGTCAGAGGGGCTGTGTTTGTGTCTGAGCATGCATGTGAGTGGAGGGGAGTGGTGAGTATCCTGCGTCTCCCCTCCGAGTTCGGAACCCACGGAGGAAATAAGCAGAGGTGCCAGACAGGCCCCTGGTAGGCACCTGCAGGCCTGGGGCAGAGCGGCCGCCGCGCAGGAGCACCGGCGGGCCTGGCCCTTTCCGGAAGTCCCCCTCTCTCCCGTTTCCACCCTGGCCTGTTGCTTCACATGCAACAGGTGTCTGAATGTGGCTCTCTGCTGGCCGAGGGCAGCCCTGGGCACTGAGTGGGGATGACACCCCAGCCTGCAGGCTGCCTGCGGGTCTCCGCCCCGATGGGCAGGATTGGAGGTGGCCGTAGCGCTCCTGGGCGTTCCCCCAGTAGGTGTCTCCATGCCGGCCTCCCGGACTCCCTGGGGCACCCGGGATGTCCACTGCGTTAGCTGGAGCTACTCCATGGCCTGTGAAGTGCCACACACCGGCATTTCGGGGCCATCAGGCACTGCTGGAGGTGCCAGGAGGGTAGCCTCATGTCCAGTTCCAGCTCCGCGTCACTTTCTTCTTCTGAATAAAGGCAATTTGCTGACTTCCTTGCTAAATAGGTTTTGGTTTTTATGGCCTTTAAAGCTTTTCCAATAAAATATCTGCAATAAGGGAACACTCTTCTGCTGCACAGACCCCAGACCCTCAGGTTGGGGCCCTGATTGATGGTTCGGAAATCCTCCTGTCCTCTGAGAGCTGGCAGTTTCTTCTGAAAAAGAGAAACTAATAGCAATAGAACAGACCCGGTGGCCACTTGTGTGGTCAAGACGGTAAATGGGCCGGGTGCGGTGGCTCACGCCTGTAATCCCAGCACTTTGGGAGGCCGAGGTGGGCAAATCATGAGGTCAGGAATTCAAGATCAGCCTGACCAACATGGTGAAACCCTGTCTCTACTAAAAGTACAAAAATTAGCCGGGCGTGGTGGCGCATGCCTGTAATCCCAGCTATTCAGGAGGTTGGGGCAGGAGAATCGCTTGAACCTGGGAGGCAGAGGTTACAGTGAGCTGAGATCACACCGCTGCACTCCAGCCTGGGCGACAAGAGTGAGACTCCATCTCAAAAAAAAAAGACAGTAAATGCTGTGTGTGAAACTGCCTTTGAAAAACCCTTTTTCTGCAGAGCGGCTTGCTGGCTGCCTGTGGGTTTGCTGTATTGTGTCGGTGGTAGCTTCTGGTTTCCAGCAGGAGAGCTTGGTAGCTGAGGGAGTCTGTGACCCAGGAAGTAGCAATTAAATGCCTGGGATGCTGGCCTGAGGCCGGTGTGTGCTCTAAGGTAAGTTCTGATTTGCCAAAGCACATCTGTTGCCTGAGTCTTCATGCCCTGACTGCCTCTGTCATTTTAAACATCGGGAGCAGTTGCCAGGGGTGGGGGTTCAGATGCCAGTGGGGGGCATGGCCTACGAACTCTGGGTAGATGGCAGAGTCCCGCATTTCTGGCAAAGGAAAAACATTTGGTAACTGGGTCAGTTTCTTACTGAGATGATGCCCCTTGTGAGGCAGCACCCGGGAGCGAGGCCTGGGCTGTGCTCACAAGAGGAAGAGCAGGAGCACTGCAAGCACGTCCACAGCCACGCGCACCGGGGGCTGCACGGCTGCCGCTCTCTGGCCAGCTGGGCAGGGCTGTGCTCCCTCGTGCCCCTCCACCAGTGCTGGGCTGTGGCTGGGCAGTCTCTGGTTCATCTTTCTGGAGAGCCCAGGCTGGGTCGGCGTGAGGGCAGGGCTAGCCTTGGACATCTGCACTTTGCAGAGCAGCCTCTGGCCTGGAGCTGACCCGCTGTGTGCAGGTGATCAGGGCTCACAGGTCCTGCAGGTCCCCTCCCCTGTGCCTGGAGCCTTGTGAGTTTAGAATAGAGAACAGGAGTGGGCAGCCTACAGGCTGCCTGCTCTCCAGGACGGGATGGATGTTGGGCAAGTCCCAGGTGCAGGCAGAGAGAGTGAGGGGCCCTTGGGGGAACGTGTCCCAGAGGGCTTGGTCTCCAGGACTGCCCACCCCATTCCTACCCCTAGTCTGGCCTTCCTCACCCGAGCACCTCAGCGGCAAGTGCTGTCCCTGGATCCAGGCTGCTCCCAAGCTTGCCCAGAGGATGGGGCCTGTGACCAGTGCCCCCTTAGCTGGCTTGACCCAGCCCCATCCCAGACCTGGCAGTGCCTATCCCATGGCCTGAGGAGGACAGGATGGTCAGGGAAGCCCCAGGGATGAGCCTTTTTGTCCACAAGCTTCCTTCTGAGATGGCCAGGCTGCCTGTGCAGCCCCACAGCCCCCAGCTCCCGTGAACAGTGGGGAGGGGCAGGCCCCTCGCTGGTGGACAGGATCTTCTAGCCCCTTAGCAGGTTTGCTCTGTCCCCTGTGAGAAGGGACCTCCCAGGTGGAGGGGCACAAGTGCTGGGTCCTGGCTGGGGTGCTCCTCCTTCCTGGCTGTCGGGGTCTCAGCACTGCCTCCTAACCCTGCCATACACACACCCAGAGAGGTCTTTAGAGGCAGGTACTGAGCCTGGGGGCTGGGGTGCCAGGAGCACGGAGCCAGATGGCAGGTGGTCTTGGGTGACTGCCGGCCCTGGGGTGATAGTGAGGAAGGCAGGTGGGCAGCTGCAGGAAGGAACTGAGAAGAGAAAAGCTGCTGGCCCCCCTAGAGGGTCTGGGGTGATGAGCTCCTGAGCCTGGGAGCCGCCTACATGTGGTCTGCCTCCATAGTGGCACCGCAGAAGGGTTGGCAGGCAGGCACAGCTGGAGGCCCCGCTCAGACGAGGCGGCCACGCCAGGGCAGTGCCATGCTGGATGAAGGGGCTGCCTTGGAAGCAGGAGACATACCCCAGACCCTCGGGTTGGGCCCTACAGAGGGGACACTGGGGCTGCAGGCCCTGTGCTCACATCCAGCGCCAGGGGAGAGGCGTGGAGTGGGCGGGCGCAGCCGGCTCCCCTGCTGGGCTCCTTGCTCCTCCCCCTTGAGGGGCAGCCCTTGGCAAGTGGGGGGCTGGTTCCAGGCACAAGAACTGAGGCCAGGGAGGAAGCCTGCCCGAGTCAGGCCCAACTGTGTCCCAACTCTGGTGGGCTCCCATGAGGGCAGCCTCTGGGAGGGTGGCACTTTGTGAGCCGGGCTGGAGAGCTGCCTGGCTGTGTTGAAAACACAGGCTGTACTGCAGACAGGTGCTGTCTGGGCACCAGCCACCCTCTCAGGCTGATGGCCTTGGCAACCTACGCTGCTGCCCCCTGATGGGGGGGCCCACTGAGGCCTGGTCTCGATTCCCAGAGGTCCCACCAGCTACCCACCCCCAGATATCTGTTCCCTGCCCATCCCCCAAGGGCAAGGCTGGGCTTAGGGTACACTGGCTCGTCTTGTTGGAAAGGTCCAGTAGCATGTGGCAGCAGTCAGTCGGCCAGTGGATCACGCAGACGTGGCCACCAGCCTGGGCTGGGCTGGCTGTGGCTGAGAGTCTGGGCTCAGAGACAGAGGGCACCTCCACCACCCACCAAAGCAGAGGGATCACAGTGTCAGAGACAGCCCCCACCCCCGCCGCCCCCCGAAGCAGAGAGATCACAGTGTCAGAGACAGAGGGCACCCCCACCGTCCCCCGAAGCAGAGGGATCACAGTGTCAGAGACAGAGGGCACCCCCACCGTCCCCCGAAGCAGAGGGATCACAGTGTCAGAGACAGCCCCCACCCCCACAGCAGGAGGATAACAGTGTCGGCATTGGCTTCTCCTGCCCCAAGTCCTTCATCTCAGTTGCCAGGCCCATCTCGGGGCTCAGCAGGTGGGTGTCCCTTGCTAGCAGAGACCTCCACCGGTTCTGTGGCTGCTTGTGGTGAGCCCGCCTCTGGCTAAAGAGAGGGAGGAGGCCCCGGCCAGCACGACCCCGGCTGTGGCCAATTATGGTGGGCTTCTGGCAGGGAGGAGGCTGCATGTGGATCTGGTGGAGGTGGACAGCTTGGCAGGGGGTGGGGCCTGTACCCCTAAGGAGCAGTGCCCCGCCCATCCCCCCTGCAGTCAGACTGCTGTGTCGGCCTCCCCTGCCTGTGCCATTCTGTGGGAAGGGCCCTGTGCAGAGGAGGCTGGAGTTGGGGAGCTCGACCAGGCCAGGCTTCGGCCCTCTTGGGCGCGCCATGGGCAGAAGCTGGGGTCCGTGCATGGATCCTGGGAGCTGGAGCCCTGCAGAGCCTGCCCTGGCTGGTGGCAGAGCAGGCAGTGGGAAGCTGCTGGGACAGGAGGGGTGACCTCCCTCCAGGGTAGCCCCCAGTGGGGATGGGAGGGTCTGCAGAGGTCTGGAGAGCCAAGGGTCACGACCAGGGTGGGGCTGAGGAGCTGGGCTGGCCGGTGGAACTGTGACCACCTGGACGTGCTCTGGGTGAGGCGTAGTCAGCGCAGGGCTGGCCGGAAGCGGCCTCTGCTGGGTGGGTCCTCTGGACACGGGGGCTGCCACCGTCCCAGGAGCCTGGCACGGATTCTCTTGGCTTCTTGCGTTTCATTTACTCAGCCATTCAGTCAAAACTGAAGCAGGTGGGCGCCAGGCCCAGCACAGGAAGTGGCAGAGCACAGGCCGAGGCTGCTCTCAGAGGCCCCGCTGACGGGGATGGTGCCACAGGGGCCCATGGGAGGGCCTGGGTCACCCTGGGTGGTGGCTGGGCTCCTGGCTCTGCGGGGCCTCCGAGGGCAGGGTGGGGCTGCTCTGTGCCACCTGTGGCAGCTGATGATGTGGAGGCCCAGCCAGGAGGCTGCAGGGGAGGGCAGAGCCAGCCACTTTCCATGGTGTCGTGGAGACGCCCAGAGGACCCCTCCCCTTGTCTGGGACTCACTGATGACACAGGCAATGGAAACTCCCGGTGCTGGAGCCTGCCTCGACCCAGGCTTGGTGCACACCTTGGGAGGAAGGTCTCGGAGGCTCCGGGTGAGGGAGGCAGTGTTGCCCAACAGGTGAGGCCTCTGGACAGATGAGGCCATGTGGGGTTTCCCTGAAGCAGCAGAGCCCGGCTGCTGGGTGGGGTCTTCCCAGTCACTGACAGGGAAAGCTGTGCTTTTCTTCCCTATTTTCTATTTGAGACGGCGTCTCACCCTGTTGCCCAGGCTGGAGTGCAGTGTCTCAATCTGGGATCACTGCAGCCTCTGCCTCCCAGGCTCAAGCGGTTCTCCTGCCTCAGCCTCCAAGTAGCTGGGACTGCAGGCGTGCACCACCAAAACACAGCTAATTTTTGTATTTTTACTAGAGACGGAGTTTTGCCATGTTGGCCAGGTCGATCTTGAACTCCTGACCTCAGGTGATCCCCTCGCCTCGGCCTCCCAAAGTGCGAGCCACTGCGCGCAGCCAGGGAAAGCTGTGCTCTTAAAACATCACCCATTCCTGCGGAAGCCCTAGCGGCGCTGGGCAGGGTGAGGAAGGAGGATTGCAGAGGCCATGCTGGCCAGGTTTGTACCCCGGAGAATCAGGAGTCCTGCCTGTGCTCAGACTCGCAGCTGGGCACGGGTCGGGAGCGCAGCCCTGCAGGCAGAGCCCCTGCGCTGGACTAGGTCTCTGGAGTGGGTCTGGGCTCCCCCCGGGGCCTCGCTCGGGGGACGACCTGGGGGGCTCAGGGTCCTGAGCCCGAGCAGCAGTGGGGGCTTTGCTGTGGCCCCTCCTTGCCGCCCACCTGCAGGCTCCCCTGGGCCAGAGTGCTTCCTGAACTGCCTAAGCCTGAAATGGAAGGTGCTGGACTGCATTTCGGCCTAGGTGGAGGGCTGGCATGTGGGCCCCGGCGGCAGAGGAGGTCAGCCACACCCAGCCAGCCTCAGGTGCCCTCCAGTCTCCCAGGACTGCGGTGTCTCCACCTTTGCCTCAGACAGTGCCCCTGGGCTGCCTCCTTTCCTGGCCGTGGGGTCCTAGTGGTTCAATGAGAAATGAGTGATGGTGGCCCTCCCCTCCCCCATCAGACGGGGCCTCACTCTGCTGGCGAGGCTGGAGTGCGGGGCAGCGATCACGGCCACCCGCAGCCTCCACCTCCTGATTCTCCCTCTTAACTTCACATCCACTCTTGTTAACGAGACTGTGCTGCAGGCTGGCACGCTGGAGAGCAGCGGCCCATGGTGACTGGTGTCTGCAGCGTGAGCTCTTGGGGTCAGCGCCCAGCCTGGGGATGAGCAGTCCTGGGCCTCAAGCCCTGTGGCTCAGTCCCCGACTCCAGCAGCCTGGATCTGCACCTTTTATGGCATGGCTTTCACGCTTGGCTGCATCCGTCCCCATCTGCTGGGGAGCTCCGGCCTGCGCTCCGTGTGGCGGGTGTGTCTGTTTGGTTGGGACTCGGTGCCGGGTCAGGACCCAGTGGCCCCTGAGGACCCAGAAACCTGCTTCTGTTCGAGTGTCCGGCCTGTTGTGAGTGCCTGGCATGGCCGGGCCACTTTTCCAGAGAAGCTCCGTGGTACTTGTGGCTCGCCGTACTGTCCCTGATATTCAGGACCAAAGCGGGTGGCCCCCGGGAGCAGCGTCTGGGAGAGATGCCAGCTAGTCTTGCATGGTGCCGGCCCCTTAACCATTTCTCTGTTGCGCCGTCTGACGTTTTCATGTGGGTCAGAAGAGCTCCTCACCCTGTGTGGACACGAGTCCTCTGAGGGACGTGCTACGATGCCCGCTCACATGCCGCTGCCCATCTAGTTGTGTGAGTGCCTTGGGGACAGCAGGTCTTACTTTAGTGAAGTCCAACACATTAATTGGCTGCAGGAAGAGACGGTGGTTTTCTTCCGAAAGCTTTATTTGTGTATCTTCCACATTGGTATCTATAATGCAAATCCATAACATTTTACACAAATATCTATTGACGGCCACTGTGTGCCAACCAGAGCAGACATTCAGGGGAGCCCCGGGGCCAGGCTCCCTGATCCCAGGGGCCAGACTGCCCTTCGGGTCCTGTGCCAGGGCTTGGCACAGTGCCCACCTTCCCCATGGCCTCCTCGCTGCCTTCCTGGGCCCTAGGGCTTGCACCCGTCCACCTGCCCCTTGGGACCTCTTCGCCACTCTCCTGCGCAGCACTCTGTGACTGGGAGAGTGCCCTGTGGTGGTCGAGGCCTGAGAGTGCCCTCTGCCCACAGGTCTCGAGCAGCCCCGCCCACCATGGACCCAGATCCCCAGGCGGGCGTGCAGGTCGGCATGCGTGTGGTACGCGGTGTCGACTGGAAGTGGGGCCAGCAGGACGGCGGCGAGGGCGGCGTGGGCACGGTGGTGGAGCTTGGCCGCCACGGCAGCCCCTCCACACCCGACCGCACGGTGGTCGTGCAGTGGGACCAGGGCACGCGCACCAACTACCGCGCCGGCTACCAGGGCGCGCACGACCTGCTGCTGTACGACAATGCCCAGATCGGTGCGTGCCGCGGGCAGGTGCGATGGCGGGGCCGGGGCGGGAGCACCCCTCTGACCCCGTCCCGCCCCCAGGCGTCCGGCACCCCAACATCATCTGTGACTGCTGCAAGAAGCACGGGCTGCGGGGCATGCGCTGGAAGTGCCGCGTCTGCGTGGACTACGACCTCTGCACGCAGTGCTACATGCACAACAAGCACGAGCTCGCCCACGCCTTCGACCGCTACGAGACGGCCCACTCGCGCCCGTGAGTCCCAGGCCCAGCCCCTGCGGCGGGCACCAGGCCTTGCCTCGGGGGGCCTTGGACACCCACCTGGGCCTCAGCCTCCAGGGAGGGCGCTGTCCCCTACCTACTCCAAGCCATGGCCTTAAGCAGTGGTGCCACGGACAGGCCTGGCGAGCTAGGCGCAGGCGGGGCACTGAGGGTGGCCAGCATGTGGCTCTGCAGGGAGCAGTGGCCATCAGGCAGCCAGCGTCCACCACGGAGGCACGAGACCTATGGCAGGACAGCCCATGCTTGGAGCAGCCCCTGGGCTGGCTTGGAGGCTGCTGTGCTGCGGTCCAAGGGCATCGGCCAGGGAGAGTCTGGCCTGGGTGGGGCAAAGGTACCCAGAGGCGCCTCCCCATCCCCTGCCCTGCCACCCTGCACGTGGAGGGAGCTGTGGTCTGGATCCTGGCTGCCCGCAGGGCCTGTGTGGGGAGTGCGGCTGGCCAGGCCTCCTTTCCGCATGCATCTCTTCCCATATGCTGAGCCCACTCTGGGCCAGGCTGTGCCCTGGCTCACTGGGGTGCAGCAGGCAGGAAGCGATTGCACCAAGTTATTGCTGAGGGTGGGCCCAGCCGCCCTCCCAGCCTGGCATCAGGGAGTCCCTGGAGGAACATGGTCTGCAGGTTCACTCCGGGCCCCTGAGCCCAGGGCCATCCCCTCGCAGTCTGTGGAGGGTGCTGACCTGCTGGGGCTGGGAGCTGGCACCTGTCTTGCGGAGCCTAGCAGGCTGTGGGCAGGGGCCCACTCCACTGTGCCGCGCTCTCGGGGGGCTCAGGACCTGCTCTTTTGCAGTGTCACACTGAGTCCCCGCCAGGGCCTTCCGAGGATCCCACTCAGGGGCATCTTCCAGGGAGCAAAGGTGGTGCGAGGCCCCGACTGGGAGTGGGGCTCACAGGATGGTGAGTGGAGGCAGAGGGGACAGGGAGGTGGCGGCTGGGCTGTGGCTGGCTATCGCTCAGCCTCAAGGCACAGCCTTAGCCTGCCAGTGGGGACTCTTTCCCCAGGAGGAGAAGGGAAGCCAGGCCGTGTGGTGGACATCCGTGGCTGGGATGTGGAGACAGGCCGGAGTGTGGCCAGTGTGACGTGGGCTGATGGTACCACCAACGTGTACCGTGTGGGCCACAAGGGCAAGGTGGACCTCAAGTGTGTGGGCGAGGCGGCAGGTGGCTTCTACTACAAGGACCACCTCCCCAGGCTCGGTACGGGGCTGTCCCACTGACCCCATCCGCCTTCCTGCCTTGGCTGAAGTCCCGGAGGGGAGGGGCTGTTGCCTGAGACCTGGCCCACCACCCTCCTCCAGGCAAGCCGGCCGAGCTGCAGCGCAGGGTGAGTGCTGACGGCCAGCCCTTCCAGCACGGGGACAAGGTCAAGTGTCTGCTGGACACTGACGTCCTACGGGAGATGCAGGAAGGTCATGGCGGCTGGAACCCCAGGATGGCAGAGGTGAGCCGCCCCACCGTGGAGCCCTGTGTGCCCTGCCTGCCCAGCCCCCTGGCCCCCAGACCCTTCCTCCCCAAGTGTCCAGCCCCACCCAGCCACAGCTCCATGACCCGCCACAGTTTATCGGACAGACGGGCACCGTGCACCGCATCACGGACCGCGGGGACGTGCGTGTGCAGTTCAACCATGAGACCCGCTGGACCTTCCACCCTGGGGCGCTCACCAAGGTGCCTGGGGGGCTGGGCTGTGCCCCATCTGTTCGCCTCTGTAACCCCTTCCACATATCCACTCGGCCTTGAGGGGGACAGGAAGGACAAGGGTGTCATTCCTCAGCCCTGTAGGAAGGGGAGGAACTGGTGGGTGGAGTTGAGGAGAAGGGGATCCGGTGTGAAGGAGCCCAGAGGAGGGTGTGTCTCTGGGAGCTGGTGCGGCTGGAGTGGGCGAGGCAGGGCCTCCCTCCGTTCCTGGACACCAGGAAGGCAGCACAGCTTTGTTGGTGGGAGGGAGGCAGCTGGGCTGCCTAAGATGCCCCTGTTTGGTGCCATCAGGCGGCCGATGAGGGTGGCTGGTTAGGGAGGTGGATGCTCTGCCGAGGCTGGAGGGAACCAAGGGAGGGGGAGATGGTGAGGGCCACGGGAAGCAGGATGGCAGGGTGGGGGCTGGAGGTGGCAGCGGTGGCATCTTGGATGGCCTTGGGGGGGAGCAGGCCTGGTGTCAGAGCGCAGCTCTGGGCGTCTGGGGTCCGGGACACACAGGCACCTTCCAGGAGGAGCTGAGGGCTTGTAGAAGTCAGGCTTGTAGAGGGGGTTCCCTGCAGAGGGGGCTCAGGTGGGGCGGAGTGGGCCTGTCCTGCACGCCGTGGTCCTGGGGCCCCGCCCGCACACTGGCTCACGGGTCCTGGCCATGCTGCCTGCTGCTGGCCAGCGTACGGCTCTCCAGGGCCAGCGCCTCGGCCTCACACCTGCCCGGAGCTGGCTTCTGTCTGCCTGGATGCTACTCCCATGGCTCTGGGCTGGGGAAACACCTTGGGCACCTGGGGCTCTCGTCCAGCCAGAGCCTCTGGTGGTGCTTGGGGTCGGACCTGGGGCCGAGTCAGGCCTGCCTGCCTCGTGGAGCTCTGAGGGTTGCCCTCCTGCTCTGAGCCTGGCCAGCCACACACAGCTGGGGGGCCCCTCACGCCCCTCTCTGTCGCTCAGCACCACTCCTTCTGGGTGGGCGACGTGGTCCGGGTCATCGACGACCTTGACACGGTGAAGCGACTGCAGGCTGGCCACGGCGAGTGGACGGACGACATGGCCCCCGTGAGTCCCCCTGCCGCCCCCGCCGCTGGCCGCTGTCCCCCACACCTGCAACCTTCTGTGACCCCCACCTCTGCCCCCAGGCCCTGGGCCGCATCGGGAAAGTGGTGAAAGTGTTTGGAGATGGGAACCTGCGTGTGGCGGTCGGTGGTCAGCGGTGGACCTTCAGCCCCTCCTGCCTCGTGGCCTACCGGCCGGAGGAGGACGCCAACCTGGACGTGGCCGAGCGCGCCCGGGAGAACAAAAGTGCGGCCCAGCTCACGGCCGGCGGGAGGTGGGGCCGCCCTGGCCACTGCTAACATCAGCCCCGCCCCCAGGCTCACTGAGCGTGGCCCTGGACAAGCTTCGGGCCCAGAAGAGTGACCCGGAGCACCCGGGAAGGCTGGTGGTGGAGGTGGCGCTGGGGAACGCAGCCCGGGCTCTGGACCTGCTGCGGAGGCGCCCAGGGCAGGCAAGCTCCCGCTCCCGTCCTCCCGCACCGGCCAGTCCAAGGGCGAGGGCCAGGGACTCACCTGCTGCCTCTTCTGGCAGGTGGACGCCAAGAACCAAGGCAGGACTGCCCTGCAGGTGGCCGCCTACCTGGGCCAGGTGGAGTTGGTGCAGCTGCTGCTACAAGCCAGGGCGGGCGTGGACCTGCCGGACGAGGAGGGCAACACGGCGCTGCACTACGCAGCCCTGGGGTGAGGCCTGGGAGGGGTCCGGAGGGGCTGTGCCTGGGTGTCTGGCGGGGGGGCACAGCGCCCTCCCCAGGCTCACTTCCTCTCCCCCAGGAACCAGCCTGAGGCCGCCAGGGTGCTCCTGAACGCTGGGTGCCGGGTGGACGCCATCAACAGCACCCAGAGCACAGCGCTGCATGTGGCCGTGCAGAGGGGCTTCCTGGAGGTGGTGCGGACCCTGTGCGAGCGTGGCTGTGATGTCAACCTGCCTGTGAGTGCCAGCCCCTGCGTCGTACCCTGGCCCTTGACCCAAACAAGTTCCCCCAGGTGACCGGTGACTCCACCCCGGCAGGATGCCCACTCAGACACGCCCCTGCACTCTGCCATCTCGGCGGGCACTGGTGCCAGCGGCATTGTCGAGGTCCTCACGGAGGTGCCCAGCATCGATGTCACCGCCACCAACAGCCAGGGCTTCACCCTGCTGCACCACGCCTCCCTCAAGGGCCACGTACTGTGAGTGGGCCGGGCATGCTGCTGTCACCAGCCTCCTGCCGTGCTGCCCCGGGGACAGCGCCAGGTCCCAGACCGACCTTCCTGCTCCCACAGAGCCGTGAGGAAGATTCTGGCTCGGGCGCGGCAGCTGGTGGACGCCAAGAAGGAGGACGGCTTCACGGCACTGCACCTGGCAGCCCTCAACAACCACCGCGAGGTGGCCCAGATCCTCATCCGGGAGGTGCGTGGCAAGGCCGGCCCAAGGTGGGGAGCAGGAGGCCCATGGGTCCCTGGGCTGAGCCGGTGCCCACCCCTCCCCAGGGCCGCTGCGACGTGAATGTGCGCAACCGGAAGCTGCAGTCCCCCCTGCACCTGGCGGTGCAGCAGGCCCACGTGGGGCTGGTGCCGCTGCTGGTGGACGCCGGTTGCAGTGTCAACGCCGAGGACGAGGAGGGGGACACAGCCCTGCACGTGGCGCTGCAGCGTCAGCAGCTGCTACCCCTGGTGGCCGATGGGGCCGGGGGGGACCCAGGGCCCTTGCAGCTGCTGTCCAGGGTGAGGAAGTGCGACGCGGGGCACTGGAGAGACTGCCGTGGCGCTGGCTGCAGGCTGGGGCGGGGCCTGAGCCACTGTCCACCTTCCCCTCCAGCCGTGGCCCAGGGAGCCAGGCGCTCCAGGGGTGGAGTGGACAGGAGCCAAGTCCTCTGTGATCCTTCAGCCTGCACCCCGGAGCAGCCTGGGAAACGGGGTGGTGCTCCTGGGGCGGGGAGAGGACGGGGTTAGGGTCTCAGCTCACCCAGCAGGGCGCCCTTCCTGCCCGTCCCACTCGGGTTCCCGGAACGGGTGCCCCCGCTTTCTAGTTGAGATCTGGGGCGCCCTTTGCTGGGTGAGCCAGGTGCGGGAAGACGCCTCCCTCGGGCCCTCACCGGCGTCTCTTCCGCCGCCCAGCTACAGGCCTCGGGCCTCCCGGGCAGCACGGAGCTGACGGTGGGCGCGGCGGTCGCCTGCTTCCTGGCGCTGGAGGGCGCGGACGTGAGCTACACCAACCACCGCGGCCGGAGCCCGCTGGACCTGGCCGCCGAGGGCCGCGTACTCAAGGCCCTGCAGGGCTGCGCCCAGCGCTTCCGGTGAGCCCGCGGGCGGCGGGATACGGGGGCCAAAGGGGGACCCCCGCGGGCGGCGGGAGACGGTGGCCAAGGGGGGCCCCCGCGGGCGGCGGGAGACGGGGGCCAAGGGGGGGCCCGGCGGGCGGGGGGAGACGGGAGCCAAAGGGGGGCCCCCGCGGCCTCCGGGCCCGCTCAAGCCGCCTCCTCCCCCTGCAGGGAGCGGCAGGCGGGAGGGGGCGCGGCCCCGGGCACCCGGCATGCGCTCGGGACCCCCAACACCGTGACGAACCTGCACGTGGGCGCCGCGCTGGGGCCCGAGGCCGCCGAGTGCCTGGTGTGCTCCGAGCTAGCGCTGCTGGTGCTCTTCTCACCGTGCCAGCACCGCACCGTGTGCGAGGGTGAGTGGGGGTGAGTGGGGGTGAGTGCAGGGTGGAGGGTGGAGGGTGGAGGGTGGAGGGTGGAGGGTGCCGGGGCAGGGGCGGAGGCGGGGCAGGCGGCCTTCGCCCACCGCGCGCTCCTTTCTGCAGAGTGCGCGCGCAGGATGAAGAAGTGCATCAGGTGCCAGGTGGTCGTCAGCAAGAAACTGCGCCCAGGTGGGTGAGGTTCGGTGCCCCAAAGGCGCCTCCTGCTCCTGCTGGCGACCCGGGTCCTCCCCAGCCCCGGCCCCACCCATATTTCCACTTATGGCCCTTCCCCAGGTCACGCCCCACCCTCCCAAGACCCACACCGTGCCCCCAGCCCCACCCAGGCTCGTACCTCATGAAGCTCACACCGGCCCACATCACACCCTGCCCATAGCGCCACCTCCAGGTAACACCCTACTCCCTGGACCACACCCCAGCCCCGCTGGCATCAGTCCTTCCCAGGTCACACCCCCCCCCATAGCACCGCCTCCGTCACACCTGCCCCAGGTCACAACCCCCCATAGCACTGCGTCCATATCACACCCGCCCCAGGTCACACCCCCCCATAGCACCATCTCCATATCACACCCTCCCCAGGTCACACCCCGCTTGCAGCCCTGGCTCCGCCCCACCACCGCAAGCCCCACGCCCAGGGTTCACATCGAGCCAGCAGGTGGCCCCAGCTCTGCCTCCAGGTCACATCCACCTGCAGATCACAACCCGTCCCAGATGACACTCCGCCCCGGGGCTCCCAGGGCTCCCAGCTCACACCCGCCCCCCACCCGCAGACGGCTCCGAGGTGGTGAGCGCAGCCCCCGCCCCCGGCCCGCCGCGCCAGCTGGTGGAGGAGCTGCAGAGCCGCTACCGGCAGATGGAGGAGCGCATCACCTGCCCCATCTGCATCGACAGCCACATCCGCCTCGTGTTCCAGTGCGGCCACGGCGCATGCGCTCCCTGCGGCGCCGCGCTCAGCGCGTGCCCGATCTGCCGCCAGCCCATCCGCGACCGCATCCAGATCTTCGTGTGAGCGCGCGCGCCGCGCCCGAGCTGCCTTCGCCAGCCCCCGCCCTGTGTTTTATAAAAAGATTCTCGGACGTTGCCTCCGTTGTCTGCCTGGGGGGCCAGGCGCCTCTGGGGTCCTGCCCTGGGGACACGCGGGCGAGCCTCGGGGGCCTCCCTTTCCCTCGGGGTCTGCCCTGCCCGCCCCGGCTCTCAGATCCAGACTCCCGCGCAGACTGCGGCCTCCAGGCCGGGACTCCCCCGGTCGCGGGCGCAGCCGCCTCCGGCCACCCAGGCGCCCGCGTTCGCCCCCGGGCCCCCCTCTCACGTCTTGGGGGCGGCTGCGGGGACTCGCCCTGTGACCCAGGGACCCCAACGCTCCCCAGGACCCCAAATTCCTGTGGGGTCCTGGCCCAGGAGAGGTTTGGGGGCGTCCCAGGCAGGTTTGGGAATCCAGAGCCGGCAAGGGCGCACGCAGGCGGGGGCGGGCG